TTTCACCATTCACTTTAATCTAAATTGGGCTCCCTGTGGCGTGAACATGGATAGAAATTCCGAATGGTCCTGCGCAGTAGGTTCTCTAGACCTTAAAGACAATTCAAGCTTATGAATAAATGCAGAAAATATATAGTTACTCACAGGTTTTGTAGTTTTTTCTCGGTGCTCAAGATCTTAAACTCCTCATATGCTTATCACTTTGCAAGACACAATATGGAATTGCCATATAACTGTTGTTTCGTAGAAATAAATATAATTCTTCATTCTGTTTAAGAGCACTATTAAAGTGTCATTTTTAAGACATGACCGCCATTTTGCAAAATTTGGCAAACCTGTGTACATCAATTAAGAGTATTTGTTGGTTTTTTTAACTTAAATGCCCTAAAAAACATACAGTTCCATGTCTTTTTTACGTTTTCCCCGAAAAAAAAAATTCAAAAATCAAAAGATTTCTTTCAGTTTGATGATCCTCTACTTAAGCTATCCTTCGTAGACCTTTCAGCTTCAAACTTCTGACAACGCAAAAGGATACCCGAAAACTTTTCTAAAACTATCCTTTAGCTTTATTTCATTTCTTCGGACATCAATACTCAATTGTTGAAGGCGTTTTAGGCATATGACAGATACCAGTCTTACAACTAAGAAAAGAAAACCAGGCAAAATTTGCTCGAAATACGATTTGCAACTTTCCAAAAACTTAATGTCCGATTGTTCTAAATCTCGAAGCTCTTGGTTATCATTCGCAGTTCAACCAAATATTCTTCCTAAGTGACAAAGAACACTAAACTCGTCAAAAGCTGCAAAAATAATATGAATTATATAAGCATTATATACATCATTTTATTGTCTTACACATGCACCACGGCAGCTTACAATCAGTCTATCTACCTCATAAACGTTTCCCTTCAGTCCTTACTCCAATATGATAGCAATATATTTTCTGCTGAATAAACTGTTCAGTACGCTATGAGTACAGGGATTAAAATATAATGATTAGTGACGTTGGTAACTTGACGACGTATTAAGCTCCTCCCATAATGATTCGTAATTTCTGTCCATGAGGCAATTATAATATATATATTTAGGCACTGCCTAAAAGCGGAGCTTCCGATACGGAAGTCACAGGGAGAACAATTTGAATGAAACTGAAAGGT